GTACTACTGGATTTCTCGACACCCACCCCCCAAAATCTTTTCACGTCTTACAGGAAACAGAAAATTACTTTCTGACTCCCCAGTTTGCGAGAATGATGTATGGAAACTTTAGAGGAGTCAGCTAAATGAACAAGACAGAAATCTGAGCGGATAAACTCCTTAGGGCGCATAAAATCCGAACTATACGCAGAAAAACTATTTATCCGTGTTTACAGTGTTACGTACCCAATATCCTGGCGGTCATGAGATACATGCAGCAGTTCCTCTATTTCTGCGCTTGTTGTATACACGCTATTTTATGTAAGGTTAAAATAGGTATTTGAAGCTTTTCCCTTGTTAAAGACACATCTGAAAATGTTGTTCTGCTGCACTTAATGAAATAGATGACTTAAAACTGAGGTCTCTCGTTTTAGGATAGATGTAATACAAAGTTCTCGCTACTTACCCCGGCGCGCGAGCAAAACCCCTACCTGTGCCTTTAAGTGCGCGAGACGCCTTCAGCTGACTCACCCATAAATACGTCAAACTTCCGGAAGTTTTGCGTCATAACATGCGTCTGTCGATCTTTGCAATGCTCACAGAATAATGCTTCGTTATGACTGACTATCCTGAGCAATTTTAATTTTGAAGCTGAACTTCAACATTTACACAGCCCTGAAACAATTCGCAATCACTGTTCAGTTGTTCAGATACTTTCTACACATTATCTGCAAGCCCTGAATGCTGAACGAAAAACATTATTGAAAAGGGTGGAAAACTTGTTTGACAAAGTCTGACAGGAAATGTCAGAAAATGCAGACTTCAGTTTATTGTCCTGTTTGGATTAAGGAAAACTTAATTGCTTCATTTGTTTCTGCAGGAATACTGTTTGCTAACAGGTTAATTTGCTTTGTCCAGGGTGGTAAAGTGAGGACATTAACCAAACCAAATTAAGGTTTGGTTTGTTAGTCTTCGTATGGAAAACTTGAATGTAAAAAAACCTAAGGAGGCGCGGAAGTGGCGTTGGTGAATCTGCAGGGGGCAGCACGTGCTCCGAAATGAACTGCTTGTGCGGTGAAGAGGGTGTTTTCTTTTCAATGGCACAGTAAGATCATTTCATCTGTGAAATTTCATCATTGCTGTGAACGTTCGTCTTTGCCAACCCAGCTAATATTTCCTCCATCATGGTGTTTTGCATTAATGTGTTCAGCAGCAACTGAGTAGACTAGTTTTCTGATAAAAGTTTACTTGACGGGACACAAATACTTAGTTTTAACTCAGTTACTACTGAAGTACAAATCATGAACAAATATAGAGACTAGATAAATGTGTCACAATTCATTAATGATGAACAGCAGTATTTCCTTCAGTAGTTCCTTAATAGTTCCTTCAGTGGTTTCTTCAGTATTTCACGAAAGTTTACAGAGTATACTAACTGCTTACTATGCTTCACGATTCATTAATGATGAATTAACACGAGATCAGTATGTAACAGGATTAGTTCGTGCTTAATTAACCCTGGGGAACCCAGACCACCTTATCATTATAGGAAAAATATGTCCATTGGCTAAAATTATCGTATACAGACCCAGTGAACTCAAAAATGGGTGTTTTGTAAAAATAACCCTTTCCCAGTCCATGTTATGAAATGTGCCATATACGACCCACTGGACTGTTCATGCTGTTCCAACTTGTTAATGTCACCTATGATCAAATAAGGACAGAAAAGAAGGAAAAAACAAATCTTTGCAACATTCTCATTTTCAAAATGCATTTATTGAGTTTTCCTTTTCATTATTCACCATGTGCTGGCACATGCTTCAAACATTCCAACCCATCAAGAAACAGGTCAAGTGAACAGACCTGCAAAAAGGTGTACTGCACACAGAAAGTTTACTTGTGGTGGGTTGTAAGGTCTGGTGCACCACCTGTATTCCCTCTGTTTTTGTCTGAGGCTGATGTTGAGCACATGGAACATCATCATCACAGTTGCCAGGAAGGTTTCAAAACATCCAAAACCTAGTTGTACATGTTCTATAACAGTGATTTTCAACTAAAATTTAAAGAATCTAACTATTTAGTGTTAAATATATTTAAGTAGCCTATTAGTTGCATCAACATTGCATTTAATCAGTACCTGACTGTCAAATCAAATTAATTCAGTACAATTCAAAAACGTTTTGACAATATTTATTGTCACGTGACACAGAACTTAGGCCAGCTGGCTGGAGTGAGATGGTCAATTCGAGATGTCTGCACACACATGTAACAGTTCTTACCTTGTAAGTAGTCTGCTTTTGTATTTAACCGTGTAAATACACCCTTGACGTAGCTAATTTTAGGGTTTATAATGGAATAATATAGATTTGCCGTAAGATTTCCAGCGTGAGTCTGAAAGCGTGAGTGTCATGCCAGATGCATGAGATTTGGCAGCCATGAAAACGTACGTTTTTTGTTTCACCTGAGTTTATTTATATAACAGGTAACATTATTTTATACATATGTTAAAAAGCAGAAACTTCAACGAACATGAAATCAACAATAAACGACGTCTATTTATCCAACATGTTATATAATACATACTGTATTTTAAAACTTTTCAGCTGTATATGATTTCAGGACAGACCAGTTACTCTGTTAGGAACATTACGAATTTTTGGTTTCGGGTTTTAGCTTCGCTGCTGCTATTAACATTAATGGCACATTAGCGCAGACAAAGGGCTGCATGAGCCGAACTACGTCTAGCTTGGCGGTTAGAGGTGTTTCACGTTCATTGGCGTGGGAAACGGCGGTTCTACTGCTAAACCACTACCGAAAAGACCGCAAAAGCTGCGCCGGATAAAATAGAAGAGTCAGGTTTTAAATAACTTAATGTTTTGGCTATCGGTCCGGGTCCGTATAGGACAGCTTCTGGGTCCGGACCCGGACCGCGGTCAGCCTGTTAGTGACCTCTGTTCTATAACATCTAAACATACCTGATGATGCAAAATTTCTGCCACTTACCTATTCACAGCTTGACAGGTGAATCTCTGCAGCATGTACAGCAACAACCTCAAAACGCGTTGGGGGCCATATTTATTGTGGAGAAAAATTAATTCATCCATCCATCCATCCATCCTTCCGAAATACAACTGCATATTCATGTCCAACAGGATTGGGATCCAGAGATCTGTTGTGCAGCATCATTGTGGGATATGAATGCCATTAGAAATAAAAACTTCTAAAAAGGCTGGTATCTCATCCAAAGTATTCTGCTGCCATTTGCCTGATTCTGCCTGGGATGTGATTCAGGCCCCCATCACCCTGTGCTGGGCAGGTAGTTGGAAAATTGATGTTTGTGTAATTTTAGACCAAAAAGCAACTGCCTTGAGACAAAGTAGATTTAGAAAAGTAAAGTACTGATTTTAAAGGTTGATACATTAACAAAAAGTAGGCACAATGAAGAGGAAAATGAAATTGAAAGAATATTTTTAAACCCAGAGAAATTAACAAATACCCATGTGTAAAAAATACGCCCCAACCCTGTACTGGATAATTCTGTGGAAGAAGGATGGATAGATGGATGGTTGATTGGATGGATGGATGATACTGGGGCAGTAACTGCATTGCCTATGATTTTATTGAGAATTAAATTCAGAATCTTTAACATTAAATCGAACAGATTGTAATTTAAATTTCCCGAAATATTATTGCAATACAACTTGAGAAATTCACAAAGCATTTAAAAAATATAAAACATGTTTTAGAAAATGTTCATAAAAGGTCAACTACTTTTCCACCTTGACAGTGGACGACCATCATGGTCACTGCCATCGTTGTCCAGACCTCCGAAATGGTTTTAAAGTATTTCATCATCTAAGACCAGACTATATACTAGGCTTTCGAAAAGCTGCTTCTATTTCAATTCATTGATATTAATCGCAAATCACAATGTGTATGCATACAAGTAAGTATTAAGAAATAAAGGTAACAAGTGTCTATTTACAGCATGAACGAACATTCAGTTTTCATACAGAAAAATGTGTATCTGTTTTGTTGTAATAGTAAAGTTCCCTGTTGTTTATGCTGATGGAGAGCATAAAATAAATGGGAATGTGCTCCTTGCAAATTGTGGGCCCCGGACAGCCACCAACATATGAGATTTATCTGATATGGGACTTCGGTCATGGGGCCACATTTTTAATATTTCGGTTAACTGTAAATAACATGGCCAATCAAGGAGTCACACCCCAGGTGTGAATTTCCTTTTTGCAGGATTTGGTAAGTTGTAATTCTGCTGGCATCTGTAATGGTTTGCCAATGGTTTGATGGTTTGCTAATGGTTTGCTAACTATCATTTTTGCTTGCCAGCCACATTCAGATAGGTCATCTCAATCTCGACGTCTGCTGGGCAGGTTTGCGTGAACTCGTCCCTCTCGTACGCATTCCTCAGGTATCGCCACACGCCTGTGAACTGTACGGGGATTTCAAAGCCACAGAATTTCTTGGAAGCAATCTGCAAGAAGAAGGCAGTGGGATATTAACCATTTCTGTATTTATTTTGTTCCTTCTCACAGTTGTTCTTCTAATGGGGCATATGAAGAATGCTTTTCATTCCACATTCACCCACCTTAATGACATGGAGTTTGGGCAGTAGGTTGCAGTCAGCCAGGGTCAGGCGGTTGCCATCCAGGAACTTCCTGTCGGAGACGATGATGTTCTTGGTGGCATTCTGGTGAATCTCTTCTGGGAGGGGCGTGTTCAGATAGTCGTCCAGTCTCTTGAACTCCCGTAAAAGGGCCGTCTCTTGATCTGGTGGGAAATGAAGAAAAGATTAAGAATGATATCTGAGAATTCGATAATGCTTCTCGTTAACTGCACCTTCATGATGCCTTTATAATGCCTCTGTAGGACATTCAGTGCACCTTCATAAGGCATTCATAGATCATTCAGTGTACCCTCATAATGCATTCATAGAACATTCATAAGCAGGACGTAAGTATAGTTTATAATGCATTCATAGAACATTAAGTTCACCTTCATAATGTATTCATAGAACACTCATAAGTACAATGTAAGTACACCTGAATGTCTCAAAGAATTGCATTCATGCAGTATATCACTTTACTTGGGGGGTGGTGGTCACAAATAATGGCCCCTCAAGTAAATGAACAAGACATGACAATTATAAATGCGTTATGAAGATGCACTGAATGGTCTGTGAACACATCATGAAAGCATTATGACAGAAAATTCTGATATTGGGATGCTTTCAATGATCCTCCCAAACGATGTTTAATGTGTGTAGATTATTAAGATAAACGCACATTTACACAACAACCCAGCTAATACAATGAAACCATTACACAATATTTGATGTGAACCTCACAATAACAAATAGGGAATTTGCTCCTGTCTATTTTCCATTCATCACTTTTTAATAGCTATTTATTGTATTGGGACACTGGATAAAGCATAGTACACCTTTCACATATTGCCCATGCAGGGCATTCATCTACTTGGACAGTCACGCAAATTGTCAGACTGTCGTTACAAACAAGACAGAGGTATAATTACTGTGATTTCATTCAAAGTCACATTGTCCTCTCCCAATCTGTTCCTTATGCAATTTCACTGCTCCTACAAGTTTTTTCCTGAATGTACTTTTGTATCCCAGATTTTATATCTAATTTATATTGCGTGACTATGTACGCATTGGAAGGTGTGGGATACTGCACTTGCCTGTTCTCTACAACAGTGTTTCCCAACCCAGTCCTTGGGCACTCACAGACGGTCCAGGTTTTTGCTCCCTCCCAGCTGAGCTAATATGAGGACTGTCTGCGGGTCCCCGAGGACTGGGCTGGGAAACACTGCTCTACAGGATTCTGTCGCTCATTGTCACTCACATTGGTTGTTGGGACTGTTCTTGATATATGCGGAAAACTTGGCAAAGATGTCTGCGCCTACATCGAAGGATTCCTTGTTCTGGGGGCTGAGGTGCGGGTACCTAACAGGCAGAAGGGTTTAATGGGAAAATGAGCTGGGGACTGTAGAGACCAGGCCGAGAACGTGGACACATAGCTGTAATGCACCGCTTCTACCTTGGGGGGGCTAGCATTGTCTCCAGGAAGTCCTCGATCTTGATGAAGTCTGTCTTCAGCTCCCCGTTGTACAGCAGAAAGGGAGGGTTTGTCCCGGGGGCCAAGTCCTTCAGTTCTGCGGGCTTCCTATAGGGCAGAGGAGAGGGACAGAGGCAGGGGGGTGCCTTACTGGCAGTATGCCATGATGATTAATGATTCCTATTGAGTCACTATATTAGTATAAAGGCCATGGGTGTGACCATCATGGTCAAGGGTGCGTATATAATGCATCACTTTTAAATGGTTTCTGCTTATTTGTTCAGTGACAGAACCGCTCACAATAATGGGGAACAAATACTAGCAGGATTAGATTAGATGAGTATTTATTCAAAACCTCTGTGAAGTCTCTATTCTTTTCCAGCAAGGGCTGGTGATTATCTGAAGCCGTTTGGTTTGTGTGGAATCGTTAGCCTCGTCGCTTGTTCTTAGGAATAGTCTCTGTGGGATTGTCTTTGTGACGGCAGTGGGAAGTGTGACAGTTTCTGGGCGGCTCGCACGCTTACTTTTTCATGTCGACAGTAGTCACTGTGAACTTGACTCCTTTCAGCCAAAGCACCATGAAAAGCCTTTGGCAAAACGGGCAGTTGCCCACCTTCTGGCCGTCATGTCCAGCCTGGGAAGGAACACAAATGCTTTTACCTCCTGAAGACTATTGTTAGCTTTCCCAGTAGTTCAACTTCACCCATATCAAAAAAGACCATGTAAGCTATCAATGTTTCTTGCGTTTTGAATTCAACACGCCATCATTTAAGGTCTGAATAACTACTAACAGTCCCCTGTTAGATGCATAGCTGTTGAAACATTTTATGCACATCCCATAAAGGGAACAAAGAAAAACTGGGGAAGATAAGCAGGGATGTAGCTAGAAATTCTGGGCCCCCTGACAAAATACCACCACCACCCCCCAAGGACCCCCTGAGTCTGCCAGGGTATCTGTGCCCCTCCCTGATCATAACACACAGAAACCTCACACTGCCCTATTCCCGCCTCTGGACAGATAACATTGATAAAACTGTGATGCTGCACCTGCAAAATTAATCATTGCTGAGACGGAGAGGTGGGGAATTCATAGTATGTTTCAAAAAGGGTGTGTTGCTATGGCACGGAGGATGTAGGGGCTGATGGGCAGGGCAGTGGTGCGTGTTTGTATCTGTTGGCATGGCAGCGTGTAAAGTGGTCCTTCAGTGTGTGTGTGTGTGTGTGTGTGTGTGTAAAGCGCAGCTGCTAAAGCTCATGAAATGTTTACGCCATTCATTCAGGCCTATTACTGCACAAACCTGATAAACATCTGTCTAAATTTAATAAGACAGATTTCACTGATGCATGTCACATGACAGAATTTTTGGGAAATTCCACAGGCAGGGTTGCCAGATTTGTGGTTTTCACACAAAATTTGACTGTGGGTTTTTCTTGGTGCTTTTTGGGCTAATGCAAAAATAGGCACAGAATAAGATTTGCTTTTAACCAGGACGATCGAAAGTTCAAGTGGTTACGGCAAAAACGCACATCAGGCAAAGGGCAGGTGCAAGTCGTACATAGTATACTGTGCCCCCCCCCAACCATACCAGCTTAGGGTGGAAATTTAGCCATAACCTGGCAATCCGGTCCAGAAGACATCATTCTCAATTCCTGTGTAATCTCTAGCGATCCATTCTGTTATTTGTCTGATATTGTAGTTATTAGTCCTGCATTTATGTGGCGAAATTAAGAAATTATACAATTCTTAGATAAGCCTGTTAAAAACATTTTAAGAATAGCAAAACCTGAAACGACAGATTAGAACAAAGTTACCTTTACGAAGAGCTCAATATTGGGTTCGTGTCCCAGGTCCATGGTGCCCGTAGAGATGGTCCGGTAAGTAGGTGCACAGATCGGCGCCCTCACTCTGCCACCCGAGAGAGAGAGTGAGGTGTTGGGTGTCACTCTGAGGCTCTTAGCTGCAGATGGCAGTTGGGGGGGGGGGGCTTCTGGACCGTCTGCGCCCGTGTGTGGGTGTGAGCAGGAGAGCCCGGGGACTTCAGGAAGCACGTGCCTGCATCTCGAACAGGTCCACCTCCTTAAAAAGCCAGAGGGGAGGGCGCTGGAGAGAGGCGTGGGGCCACACGCATATAAAGCCAGTGTCTAAGGCTGAAAATAGAACCTCTTTAACAGATATTAATGTCATTCACGACCCATGAATGGAGGTTACTGATTCCACTGTGACATGAATCAGATGCACCACAACACTTTGTTTGACATGTTTGTTTAGACCTTCAATGCACGTCTTTCAAGGCATTTTTAGCTGGGGACTAAAAAAAAATAAAGTTTTTTTTTCTTTATTGTACAAATAGCAAAAGTGAATGGTTAGCTTTGTCCTCACATAATTGAAATAATTATAGTTGGTGATTTTCCCTAAGTGATTGTCTTCCGCTGGACTGGATAAGCAGATGGAAGCTGGATGGGCGACGGATTGATGAATGTTTATTTTCCAAGATAATAAAACAAGCTAAACATAAAACTCTGCAATGAAATAATGCTGAATTGTCATGTTTAACCAAATTTTTCTTAAACAACTTTGAACAATAAGAAACGATATTAAATGTATTTTTTCATCTAATTTAATGAATGATTGATGTAATTTTAAAGAATTCTACACCATAATTAAACAATTATAAGATTAATTTGATATATTTAAAATATTTTAGGATTTCAGAAATAGCTTTCAACCATTTAAAATATTTCTAAAAAGTAAACTTGGAATATATTTAGAGAGATGAACATCATAATTTCTAAATATGTTGGAGTCAAAATCAAAATTGATTGAAACATATGTTTTTTTTAATTCTTAAAAGGTGGTTTTCTGTTTCAAATTATATTATAATAACTCCACATGAAAATAGCAGTACATTTCCATAAATCTTTTCAAGATATTTCAGTCTGTTTAAAAAAAATAAACAAAAATTAGATCTTTAAAAGATATGATTTTTAACTCCTGTTTCCAATGTATGTTTGATTTAACCACACATACAGTATCATTAAAATTCATTTTGAAAAATAGATTAAAAGCATTTGTCTCTAAATGACAGCTCGCTATCATCATGTTTTCAAAATGTAAAAATTAAAAAATATGCACAGCTAGAAAAGTCAGCGTACCCAGTGTTCCAGGCAGGGAATATCTCATTTAAGGACGCTAACGTACATTGCAACTGTTTTGTTTGATTAATCTCAGTTTGCTTTTTTCATATATATATGGGAAATTTACGGGGTAATTTTTTATCATGCCCCTGAGATCAATCATGGGTATCAGTGCAAAAAGCATGAAATGCTTGTCCGTTTCTGTATGGTTGCCATGTCAAGACTGAGAATTCATCAATTCATACATCGTACATTTGTCATGAATGCAGGCGGCTCAGGCACGGGAGCGCGGCATGGTGCAGGCACGGAAAGGATGGCGGACGACCCACTTGCGGCTCAGAGACAGAAGGGGTTTATTAACTAAAACAGAAGACACTACAAAACCAATGAAACCAAAAGGACCACGGGGGGTCAAACTCTAAAGGGAATAAACTTAAACACAAAACCAAATACACATCAAAACACTGAAAATAGCGGAACCATCAAAGAACAACAGAAGACACAATCAATCAACAATGAACCACTAGTGAACTAAACTCAGGCAGGAACTTAAATAGGAAAACTGAACAGAGTAACGAGGCAGCAGGAGTGAGACAAGCAATTAACCAATTGGGGAAGGTGCAGGACAACGAGCAATCAGGAAAACACACAAGGGCAGGCACAAGAACAGGAAACAAGTGGAACTAATTAACTCAGGGAACTGGGACGGGAAAACTAAGACTGACAAAGAAGGAAACAGCATCTACACTAGGGGAATAACAGACAGGTAGAAACACAAGCAGGGGCACATAGAACTGAACCAAATACAAATCACAGAAACCAGAAAAACTTATACAAAGAAACACTGGGGAGCAAAATACAAAAACAGGACAGGCGGGATTCGAACACAGGACAGAAGGGTACTCAGGACAGAAGGGTACTCAGATAACCACATGCTCAACACATTGAGCCATGTAACAGGTGAGAACAAAGACTAACACAAAGAACGGGATGACCAGCACCACCTGCTGGTCAAACAGGGAAGGGACACGGAAGGACCACAGCAGGGGCTGACCCTGACAACATTACGACCCACTTATGCAGTACAGAATCATAGGTGTGGCAAGCAGCAAGGGACACAAGGCTCACTGAATTCATTCTGAAACTGCTATTGCTAATACTTTTTCTATATTGAACTACTACTTCCGGCCCTGGAGCCTGCAGTGTATCCCAACCTGTACTGGGGAACACCCTGACCAGGATGCTAGTCCCAGAGAGGGCTGAATCGCACACACTATGGAAGATACAGAGATGCCAGCTAGCCTAGCTGTAGGTTTTTGGACTGTGGGAGAAACTCAAAGTAACAACATAGAAATCCCATCCACACAGAAGAGAAGATAAGATACTGTATTGAGAGTAGATCATAAACAAATGGGTACATATAGGAATATGCCTAACTGAATATACCTAACTGAATATACATAACCGTAACTAATTACAAATAATGGGTGAGAAGAAGGTGTTGTCATAGAGACTGCTGACTGAATTATTCTTATACAGCCCAATGATACTGTGGAGCTCTATAGACAAAACATCCCTTCAATTAGACCAGAAGCAATCTTAAAACACATGAGAGCAGCATTTTATCCATGGGGACAGACAGCTGAGCCTGGCTCTCATGAGAAAGGCCAGCTTTATATCATGGGAAACGTCTGTACTGAGTGTGCTGCACCTTATCCTGCAAAGACTGGCTGTGCTGATGCAAACAAAAAAGGATTTACTGGGTGAGTGCATTTAAAAAAAATGAGTCACTTTTTAAACAGCATAAGTACAGTGTATTTATTAAAACTGACAGTTAATTCTTTCCTAATACACTCTAACTTTTTGCATTTATGCTCTGACATAATAATTCTGGTTGTTTTGCTTAAATCTTTCTGGGGTGGCCAACTACTTTCTTTTGAAAAACACATTCAGAAAATCCTAAAAAATTAGAGACATTAGGTAGATATTTGTGCAATAATTCATTAAAAATCTTTGGTAAATACAATTTTCTTATGGGCCCAGGTATGGCACCTGGTATAATTACACAGCTAGTTTTGCCTGTCTAATAACAGTTCAATATTAATGTATTTTAATGTTTTATTAAAGCCCCCCTAAAATAGGCCTAATAATGCCCCTGGTACTCACCACACCCAGTACCTAATAAATGGCTGGAAAGTGGATGGTTGGATGGGTAGGTGGACAATCAGGTAGATCCAAACATCTTCACCTATTGTCTGGTTTTAGCTGTGTCCAACATTGACATTGAGCAGGCAAGTTGTGCTGACTCAATAAACCATGTTTTTCTGTTTTCGTGTATCATACCAAGTGAACAGACCTGAACCTTTTTCATTAATGTCCTCAATAGCCAGCACCAGTTCATGCTTTTACTTACCTTGCTGAAATGACGCCATGCTTTTCATTCAGGATCGCCAACCATGTTGCCTCCATCCTGACCCTGCTCTACCTCTGTATCTGCACAGGTTGAGTAGAACGATTCCCTGTGACATTGTTCCTTTTATGTGGTTCTCTGGTCATGAAAATCCCAAACAGACAAAGCAATCTGCTCCAACTGACATGACCAATTCCACATCTCCATTCATCACCCTGAAGTACAAAATACTGATTGCCACATGTGCTCATCTTTCCTGAGAACGTGAAACCTATTTAGTTTGAGACAATTGTGCAACATAAGAAAACAGATAGCTTACAGTGACTCAGTGTCAGCAAAGCTTCATCCATCCATTCATCCATTCATCATCTGTCCATCTTATCCTGGTGGAGTGTCTATTGGCAATACTGAACAACCTATCCACTTAATAGTCTGTGTCTGTGAATTTTGAAAGAAAATACAAAACCACATGAGAGACTAAGTGCATGTAATTGTAATTTTTTCTATTTGTTATTTTTTTGCGGGCAGCTGTACCTACATAGTAGTGCTGTAAGGAAGTGCCCGGTTTTACGTAGGCATGTTGGTCCTGTTTTATGAATGCCCCAAGGGGACTGAGTACAGTTACTTGCCCACCCCAACTATCTTCACAGTGCAGTTTATGTCTAAAAGAAGGACTGGCGCAGTGACAAAGCAGAGCAGCCTACAGCATATTTACACACGAGATAAGAGGCGACACAAAGGGATAGGTGGCTCTGTGACGGAAATGTGGTTTGGCTGAAATACCAAGTGCTGCAGAATGCCAGGCGGCACAGGATTAAGGCCTTTTAAAGGTGTAGGGCCTGATTTGCTCGTTTACTTTGTCCATGACCTTTTAACTTAATGTCATTTCAACTCATAATAAATTAAGAAAAAAAGTTAATTAAAAAAAGAATGCCAAAGGGGACTGAATTAGAAGCAACTGCAGCATTTGGAGATAAATAATATTAATGAGAGCAGTAGAACTTCAGCTGTACTGCAGATGGCATGCTTTAGGATGCGGGCACAGTGGCACAGTGAAGGGTGTATGGCATGTGACAGCATGTGAATGCACCACAGGACACAAGGCTCGGGGACACCCTGGACGGGATGCCAGTCCATCACAGGACACAAGGCTGGGGGACACCCTGGACGGGATGCCAGTCCATCACAGGACACAAGGCTGGGGGACACCCTGGACGGGATGCCAGTCCGTCACAGGACACAAGGCTGGGGGACACCCTGGACGGGATGCCTGTCCGTCACAGGACACAAGGCTGGGGGACACCCTGGACGGGATGCCTGTCCGTTACAGGACACATACACACTCACAATCATATCATATGGGCAATTTAGAGACACCAGTTAGCTAAATTCATGTCTTTGGACTTCAGGAGGAAACCCATGCAATAGAAAAAAAACTCCACAAACAGAAGAGAGGGATTCAAACGCCCTGCTTCTGAGGCATGAGGTAACAGCACTATCTACTCATCGGCTGTGTTGCCCATTCCTGATTTAGTGGATGTAATTTTTATGTGAAAAGAACAATGGGGAGGCTTAATGGATTAGACAGAGTTTGTTATGCGTCTTATATGACTGATGTGAAACCTATACACAAAGGCCCACAGCGGTTTTGTTTTGGTCTTTCGAGCTGGTAAAGCAAGCAGAGTAGGAAAAGGATACACACGGCACTATAATCTTCTTTTAATTATTTTAAAGGAGTGTTTGCCTCTGGTTTTACTTTTACCCAACGTTTACAGTGTATTTGCTTACAGGAACCATCCAGGATTTCATCATGTTTGCACGTTTCTGCTGCAATTCTATCTGTTTGTTCCTTCGCCCCACTGTGCTTCTCAGCGACAGGCTGT